GAACCACAGACTCCCCACCAGGAATTGTTTAAGCAAACAAACAACGAGGTTTGAGGCAACCCAAGTCTAGAAAAGTATTGTTCCAAATCTCTGATTTCAGCCCTTGATGGACAGTGATGCAACAGGGTCCTTCTCAATTGGTGGGAGGTGCTGCCAGGGACAGTATTGTTCCAAATCTCTGATTCCAGCCCTTGATGCAACAGGGTCATTCTCAATTGGTGGGAGGTGCTGCCAGGGAGCTCTCGTGCTGCTGTATCGATACCCTGCATCAAAACCAGTAGACTCTTAAGCAGTACCTCCGTGAGGGTACGTGAGGCAAGAACGGAGCCGTGAGTATCAATGTGGGATCGAACCTTGCCAATGGTAGTGTAGACACAGTGCAGGATCCTTCCTATGAGCTGACCCTTGATGCTTTTTAAACCACTAATATGGAGGAAAGGACCTAGACCTTCCCACAAAGAAAGATGCCCCACCTCTGGCATTGAGCTCTCTGTCCCAGTTCTCCCATTTCATACTGGGCAGACCCGTGAAGGCAACTGGTCAAAGTTACCTTGAGCCTGCCTGGAGCATGCAAAGGCAGATTTTAAGTTTTGGGCGTACAAAACCCACAGTTTTCTTGTGGCTGGATGTTTAAGGCAGGCGGACTAAGCAATGTGCCCCTAAGAGGAGGAAAAAAGAACGCATTTTGCCCAGGAAAAGGTGGTATGGTTGTTGTGGGTTTTTCAGGTTCGTTGGCTGTGTTCTGAATGTTTCGCCCGTCTCTGTATTGTGAAGGTTGTTCTTCTTGATGTTTCGCCCGTCTCTGTGGAAGAACAACCTTCAGAACACAGCCAAAGAACCTGAAAAACCCACAACAACCATCAGATTCCAGCCGTGAAAAGCCTTTGAGAATGCAAAAGGTGGTATTTTTATATTAAGTTTGGCACGACTGCCACCTACTGGCTATTTCATGGAACAAGGAAATGTCAAGGCCTTGTGCCGTGTCCAAAATCTCCTTTTGACAATGTTCCTCTATAACTAGAAGCTGTCAAACAGACAACTGTTGACCGTCATGACCTTTTTTTTTAAGGTGAACTCACCTGGCTGCTGAACATGCAGTTCTAAGTGAATGGCTGAATGTAGAGGCTTTAGAGATGGAAAAGTTATTGGCTGATGGCTCCGACTCACCTGGCTGTTGAAAATGCAGTTCTAAGTGAATGGCCGAATGTAGAGGCTTTAGTGATGGAAAAGTTATTGGCTGATGGCTCCGATATCCTTGGGGCCATGAATCTGTTCTGGGTTTTAGTCCGAACTTGACCGGAGCTTCCACTGGCAGCGAAAAAAGAAGTCACCACTGGGAAGACCTGACATGGAGACAGCCTCTTCGACAGATCTATTACCAGATGGCCAAACCCCAAGGCTTCTGATTCGGAAACCTTTAATGGCATTCACAAATTACAACAGCACAAGCAAAAGGGAAGAAAATAAAATTACACAAATTAGAAGCAAGATTTGACCGGAGCTTCCACTGGCAGTGAAAAAAGAAGTCACCACTGGGAAGACCTAACATGGAGACAGGCTCTTCGACAGACTTATTACCAGATGGCCAGACCCCAAGGCTTCTGATTCTGAAACCGTTAATGGCATTCACAAATTACAACAGCACAAGCAAAATGGAAGAAAATAAAATTGCACAAATTAGAAGCAAGAAAAAGGGGACCGTTTGAGAGTTGCAGATAGAAAACCTGCAACAGCAGCAGTCAAAGGATTAGATCCACCACTCATAAAAATAGAAAGAATTAGCTCTGGTGAATTAGAAAGAGATGAAATCCAAGGTTCGAGGGGGGGGAAATTGGAAATAGTAATAAGGAAAAAAAACAGTTGTGCCCTCTTGATGAGGAAGGGGAACCTCTGGATTAGAGGAGAAGTGAATATGTGGTGGGGTGAACGGTATCATACCCTCTGAACTGAAAGAAGTGGTTGTGTAGCCACATCTGAAGGGGGGGGAAAAGTTCTTCTAAGCAGTGATGTATAATCAGAAAAACTTTACCTCTCTTTGGAGCAAAGTACTTGATCTCAAGGTCATCTGAGCCACAGCTGTGGATCAAAACAGATTACATACCTTTGTCCCCGTCGGGGTTCAGGACCGGTTTTGGCACAGCCTTGATTAAGGAGCCTCGTGGGCAAAGGGGTTCGACGGCAGTCCTGCAGCCAAAAGCAGGGGTTCGACGGCAGTCCTGTAGCCAAAATTCTGCTCACGACCCACGTTCAGTCCCAGTTGTCTGCCTCAAGGTTCACTCAGCCTTTTATCCTTCCGAGGTTTGTAAATTGAGTACTGGGGGCAGGGGTGGGGCAGCAAAGTTAATCCTGCATAATTAAATTGTTTTAAGGGCTATGGGGCAGCACTTTAAAAAAAAAAAGCTTGGTCACCCTGACGGATGACCTTGTCCGGGAGAGGGTGGGCAGGAGAGCATGACCTTTCTTCTAGATGTCTGAGTGACTTTGTCTACCATGACCTTATTACCCTCCTGGGCCACCTCCACAGTCTCATCTAACTGCTAGTCCCAAACAGAACAGACATACAGTGTCAACTACTCAGTGCTTAAGTCAACACTTACGAAGCCCCATTGATTCAGTAGATCTACTCTCCCTGATGCTAACTGGACGCAGCCCAATGGCTTGCGGGTTGGAGCATGATTTCAAACAGGTTTTGCTTATACCTCCAGGTAAAGATGGGACGTGGTGGCGCTGCGGGCTAAATTTCAAACCGGTTCTGCTTATACCCCCAGGTAAAGATGGGACATGGTGACGCTGCGGGCTAAACCGCAGAAGCCTGTGCTGCAGGGTCGGAAGACCAAGCAGTCGTAAGTTCGAATCCACGCGACGAAGTGAGCACCTATCACTTGTCCCAGCTCCCGCCAACCTAGCGGTTCAAAAGCATGCAAATGCAAGTAGATAAATAGGGACCCGGTTCTGCTTATACCCCCAGGTAAAGATGGGACATGGTGACGCTGCGGGCTAAACCGCAGAAGCCTGTGCTGCAGGGTCGGAAGACCAAGCAGTCGTAAGTTCGAATCCACGCGACGAAGTGAGCACCTATCACTTGTCCCAGCTCCCGCCAACCTAGCGGTTCAAAAGCATGCAAATGCAAGTAGATAAATAGGGACCACCTCGGTGGGAAGGTAACAGCGTTCCGTGTCTAAGTCGCACTGGCCATGTGACCACGGAAGATTGTTTTCGGACAAAATGCTGGCTCTATGGCTTGGAAACGGGGATGGGCACCGCCCCCTAGAGTCGAACACGACTGGACAAAAATTGTCAAGGGGAACATTTATCTTTACCTAAGGATGGAGTGATTCTCACCTACAGCCGTAGAGAGCAGAATACACAGAGGGGCTAAATTCATCCCCAAGATTTGAGCCTCCTCTCCCTAACCCAGGACGGAAAACTCTCTTCCACCTCTCCACCCAAACCAGGTTTCCTTTGTGGGTTTTGCTTTCTCTGTTCCAAACACCAACGCCTTTTGATGACTTTCAGCATGGACCAAAACGCGAACTGGCTTCCCTTCGCTTCCCCCTTGCTAGAAGGTTCACGAATTGCTAGGCGAGGCGTCTCCAATTCCGAGGGAGCTCCTGAAAGGATCAGCCCACTATCGAAGACGGTAATTAAAGTTTTATTGTATCAACGCTATCGTTAAATTACACAATCAAAGTCAGTCAAATTCCCATAGCCCCTTTTTGCACAGTTGTAAATCTACATAGTAAGGTAGAGGTCTACAGCAGGAATTAAGTCAAAATTTTATGATTATGACAAAATTGAATCTTTATATGCATACATCCCCTATATACAACAAACAGTATACAGAAAGAAAAAAGAAACATATATATATTTTTCGTTTTGGTAAACCATGCACACCACAGCATAAAAACCAAAAATTGCATCTCTTCGGGCGGGGGGGGGGAGGTGCCAGGCTGGGGTCTTCTTAGGCCCCCATTTGCAGCAGCCTTGAGTTTCAAGAGTTAATCATTTCTCCTGGTTTAAAAAAACCCCCAAATAATTTGTTGAAACTGGCATTTATTTATTGAAAAAGTCACTGAATGTAACTGGATTTCTTTTGCAGGTTGCTGTCTGGGGTATTTTTTCTCCCCCTTAAAATGTGCGAAGTTTTGCAAATCTCATGCAAAAAGGGCCTACTGAATCCAGGCTGCAATCCTATTGCTGCTTACCTAGGAGTAGGGTAAGAAGTCAATGGGGTTTAATTTTGAGCAGACACGGTCTGAGCATTGCAGATGATCAAGACCATCAGTGTAAAAGGAGCCTCCTTAAGAGTCAACAGGCGTGGCATAAGCTCTCCAGTCCTGTAATGGTGCTTGGCAAAGTACTTCCAACAGGAGATAACATCTTCTAGAATTTGGCTGTGTTGGCCCAGGGAGAGATTTTTTTTTTTTTTTTGCAGTTGCAGCCGAAAAAGGTATCTCTGTACAACCACCACCTCCCTCAAGAAATGGGTTTCAGGAGAGCCACCATGGCAGATCGTACTAGCTTGTGATAAACTAATGATCTGACTGAGCAGACATGGACAGGCTTGGTCTGAAAAGGAGGCAGACGTGGGTGTCCTTTGGTTTCCCTTGGCTGCTTCCCACCTGATCCTCTGAGCATCGCAGATGATCAAGACCGTCGGTGCAAAAGGAGCCTCCTTAAGAGGTGTGGGGAGAAAATGGGACCTGTTATAGCTGAGAAGATACAACCACCAAATTGAAATTCACAGCTGTTCTCCTTAGGATGCTAAGTAAAAAAAAAACCTGCGGTTTGTTCAGGTCTCGCTGTAATCATCACGTGTTTTTGCATAGAGATTCACACAGTTCAAGCATCTTAATGCGGGTGGCTTTTGGCCTTTCCAGGTACTCTCCTTTGAGAAGAAGAAAATTAAGATAGAATTACCTGTACCTGCTCTTGATGGGACTCAGTGTTCTTGCAATACATTAGAGGACCGTTCAAAATATTCAGGACTATTTTTTCCCCAGATGCCTCTCACACTCTTATTTTAGATGCATTTTAGCTGGAAGAAGCCTGTGCCCCAGGCAGCTTTTTTTCCTATTTTTGAAGCCAAGCATTGCTTCTTGTCAGCGACAAGATTCGTGGTCCCTCGTGGGCAAGAGACAAGGCCATCTCTTATGAAATTCCACTACTTTGGAGGTAAAGGAACGTGAGTTGGACACAGCTAATCCTTCGCCACACACAAAGCAACTCAAGGAGTCCAGATGTACTCTCTGCGCGCCAGGTCAGAGGAGTGTGCAAGGCAGCAGACACATTTCTAGATTCATTGGATCACAACTTCCACCTCCCTCAAGAAATGGGTTTGAGAAGGACTCGTTCAGGAGAGCCACCATGGCAGATTGTACTAGCTTGTGATAAACTAATGATCTGATTCAAGATAAGCTGAAACCCTTTTCCTACATTCTTCTCTCTTCTGATTTTATGGTTTGCAATTTAAGAGCAGAAAAATGGATGGCGAGGGGAGGCGTCTCCAATTCCGAGGGAGCTCCTAAAATAATCGGCCCGCTATCGAAGACGGTAATTAAAGTTTTATTGTATCAATGCTATCGTTAAAGAGAAGGACAGATGTTTTATGCACCTATGGTTGACTCTCACCCTCAGTACTAAATGTAGCTTCTTTCCCCTTGATCTTCGGTTATCATCTTTTGTCTAACCTTCTCTTAAAATGGGGTTAAAGATATGGCTACTGTTTTTCTCCAGATTTTTTTCAGAGGCAACGTTTTATTCCTTTAATTCAAAGGTGAGCAACTTGGGCAGGCAAAAGGGCCAAATGTTCACCCCCTAGCATCCTCCGGAGGCCAGACTAGGCTTGGAAATGGCCAAAATAAATCCCAAATGTACAAAAACTGAATTTGAAGCAAGATCCTGATGCAACTGTTTCCAACGCATGGCTGGTGTCCCGTTCCTTACACACGCACGTGAGGTTTGTGCAACTATTGTATGATGCTGAAAAGGATCGCAGTGTAAGGATGAAGCATTCTGTCAGGTCCGTTTTCTGCGAGTCCCTAAAATCTGCAGGTCTCTGAAGATGGTAAACAAAGGACTGCTCAAATGCCAGATCAGGCCAAAAAACACACAAAGAAACCCAAAACAGAGTGGGCAGAAAACCAGCCACAAGTTCAGGCAAATTGCCTGCATTTCCTCAAACGTTCAGCTGCAAATACTCTCTTTAATGGGGGAAAAGTCCAATATAACAAGAGACAAAATGGTGAGCTCTGCTGGGTTCAGAGTGATCAAATCCAGTTGCGGGAATGGGGAAGGAGAGAGTTGTTAAAACCAAGCAAGAATGCATGTGGAATATTCCATTATTTTGCAAATGCTCCACAAACATCTACAGAGATTGGAAACAAGATCCACAGCCTTTTGACTGAGACAGACGCCTTACAGGTACAGTAATTCTTCAGAGCATCTGTACGCCATCCCCGAATCTGCCATGGCTCTGGAGAGAGAGTAACTGGGGAGTGAGGGGGGAGGAAGGATTCCCTTTTTATTTAAAATTGAACTTTGGAATCAAGGTGTTTGCTTCTCACACCCCTGCTTCCAGTTAAAGCATCTCAGCCTTTAAAACAAGGTGCGGCTTGGATTTTAAAAGGAGAACCCTCCGGTTTAGTTAAAAACAAAGTAGATGAAGAGGACCTGCTCTGATTTAAACAGGGAGGGGGGGAAGAGAATGGGTTGGACATTACCATTCATCAGCCCCACCAGCAGGCCTGTGCATGGGGACGATGGGTGGTGTAGTTCGACACATCTAGTGGAGGACCCTAAAGGCAATCTGCCCGTTTTGTCCCTTACTCGTTACGTCTGGTATCAAACCGAATCAAACTCACACTAACCATGCCAGCCGTTGACCCAAGAGAATATTAAGACAGAGGAAAATGTTCGTGCCCATACCCGTGGCGCGCGGCACAGTTTTCTGTCTAAGACTATAAAGTTCTGGCTGTTGGCCATCCCTCTTCTTTATCTTACTGCCCAGGTTGAGATGGAATATAAGCAACAACGGATTCCTAGCCCATCACCCTGAATATCGGATCTCACCTGATGTGGGAAGATGGCAGGTCAGGCCAGGTTGGCCCTTGGGTGGGAGATGGCTAAGGAGTACCTGGGACCTCCAGGAACAGCTAGGGAAGAATCCTGCTTGCCATCAAAGAGTCTTAGCTGCCAGTCAGAGTTGACCACATAGGACTAGATAGAAGGCCTCTCCCCATGTTCCTAGTGGAACAAGAGTCTGTAATTTTCCATACAGAAGATGGCCCCAGGGGTCTCCTCCACCCACACCATCATCTTCCCATCCTGAACACCTCCCCTCCACCTCGCAAATGGTCACCCTCCCAACGGCACCCCAGGGTGTTACTCACTTCTCGTGTCCACATTATGAATTTCATTCAAGCGACCATGTCTAAGACCTCCCCTCGGTAGTTTTGCTGCTCTGCCTGACAGGCCAACCTCTTTTTCCCCCCTTTTTTTGAAGGGACAGACCCGAGACACACAGAGATTAAAAAGTTAACCCATGGACGACACGACATTGAATGCAAAAAAAAAAAATGGCGGCAAAGATGGCTGAAAGAGCCCCTTGTGTTTCTGAACCGCCCTCGGTGACGGGCGGTTCTCCCGACTCTCCCATCCTGCCTGACTCCACAGTTCCGTTCGGGCTTTCAAGTCCGCGCTCCGCTTGAAGGCCTCCGGCTCCCATTATCGCCACTGCTCCACATGCCCTATGTAGTCCGTTGTGGAGTTGGGGTTCCCCTGCTCCTTGTTGTGAACCTGCTTCGCCCGCCACAGCTTTCTCTGCTCCTGCCGCTTCCTCCTGGCTTCCTGGTGCTCCTTCTGCCTCATGAACTGGTACCTCTGCAGGAACAAATCTTTTGCATAATCGTAGAGTTCCATATCTAAAAAATTGAGGGCCTCGATGCGCTTCTGGGTCTCCCCGTCAATGTCTACGCTAGAGGCCCTTGTGCTGTTGTACTGCGTGAATGGCGAGATGAAGTTCATGTTGAAGGTCTTCTCGAAGAGATACTGAGTCTTGCGCTGGAACTCGGTCAGGCCGAAGAAGGCCATGCGCTTCAGGTTCTCCTTGGCGCTGTCGAGGAGGACTTTGTTCCGTTGGTCCTCCGCCATGACGGACAAGTTGTAACATCCCACCAGGCTGAGGTCGGCCAGCATGCGCACCTGGCGGTTGTTGGCCAGGTTGTACGGGCAGTCCATGAATTCTTGGAGAGAGCAGCCGGACCAGTCGTCCCCTGAGTAACAGCTGGGCAACTCTTCCGACGTCGGCGATCTCCCGTCACAGACGTGCAAGGACGCTTTCCAGGTGGCTCCTCTTTGGACATGCCGCCATTCACTCAAGTAGCGTGAGACTGGGTCCCGAAGGATGGTGATGTAGTAGAAATTCCTGGAGAGAGAGTAGAGGAAAAGGCACAGAGTTTATTAATAAGGGTGTGTGTACACACACATACACACACACACACACACACACACACACACACACCACGTCATTATCATTTAGCCATACATTTAGGGAAGATTAGCTAGATGGAGTTCAGAAATTGATGTGTTCTAGTTTTATTGCTATAATGACCACTGCAGCTTACAAAGACATATGATTGGGTCCCCATAGCTACAGCGGTTCAATTCCAACTGCCCCCTCTCTGGATTCTGAAAAAAAAAGCAATTTTATTAACGAATGCTACACATAGCATGGTCTTCACTCCCTCCAGTGGCCTGCCCTGGTAACTTCATCTTTAGTAATATACATTTCAAGGATTTTTCTTTTAATAATTTTAATATTTTCAGACTGTGGATAAGTGAATCAGTGGATACAGATCCTGTGGATGAGGCAGTTCTACTATAGCTGCATTATCTGTCCCACTATGTTGTTGTTGTTTTGACTAGAGCCACTCTTTGGGTGGTTTAAAATGTAATTGTGCAAGGAACACTTTGCCTATTAGCTATGTTGGCAAAATTAACGGGTGGGAGAAAATAGACCATGACTGAATATATGTATAAATTTAGAGGACATGTATTTACACTTTGTGTAAATCTACCTGAAGATGTAGATTTTGATCCCCTACTCACATAAATCCAATAGTGTTTAATGATATCCCCTCTCTTCCATGTAATTTTGCCCATATAATGATTACAGGGTACCCCTACCTTTCTACATTTAAAACATTTTTTAAAAAGAAAAGGCACAGTATTAGTGACTGTTATGTTGTTCTGCAAATACACTATTATGCCTTCATTATTCACTGCAATTAATGTTTTAAAGGTATTGGACTACTCTTCCTATTGTTGCTGCAGTACTGGAATTTAATACTGAATGTGTACGGCAGCTGGGGAGTCAGACAGCATAGGTAACATCACTGCATGCAATGTGTTATTTCCAAGATCTAGTCTAGGATATATTCAAAATTAAATCATAGTAACACAACAGTGAGAACACTACAATGGCTGGGATCCTATTGCACATGTGTGTAAAAGCTGATGACATCATCAACTGCAGACTTCAGTCTTTAATTTAGGCTTTTCTACCTCCCCACCCTTTTCTCGAGGTTCCGGGGCTCCCTTTTGACCTGGGGAAATCCTTAAGAGTCTCGACACACCAAGGGAGAGCCTTTAATATCTGAAAATTGGTGCTGGTGCTCTCATTTCTGGGATCAGGACCCCAGTGGAGGGCAATGTTCAGGTATTAAAGCCTATCTATCGCACCCTCCCCAGTCCTGAGGCTCCCAAAGGCTTCCCCAGGTGGAAAGGACAATCCCTTGGGGATTACAGTTGCCAGAATCTAATCCAAAACCCTTCATTTCTCCAAACTTTTCCCAAACCAATGCAGGCAACCAACAGAGCTAAGTTTCCGGGAAGAAATAAATCAAATCATCCATCTTTTCAAAAAGTCCTGGAGGAAGAGGAGTGGGATCGAGTAGAAAAACATGAGAAAGAATTGTTCTGCGAGCAGTCCTGCATTACAGATCGGGATCAAAACATGTTATCCAAAGCATTCTGTGCTGAACCGCACCAAACTGGACCAGACCAAAAAAACACCAGTGGGAGCAGGGAGTGGAAAGGATAAATCCTTAGCCCCGTAGAAACCACACAAAAACGGTACTTGATAGCGGCTCTGGGGACTAGCGGTGCCGGCTGTAAACATATGCACTCAAATGTCACCGATTCCTGTTGGGGATGAACAGCTGTGACTCAGAACAGAGAAAGAGAAGCAAAGCGCACTGCTGGAAAACATGCCGACGGTTGTGGTCGGCACCCGGTTGCCCTTTGCGCGTCGTCAGCACACGGGGGCAGGTTGGATCCTGCAACCACTGAGGAAGACACCAAAGGCAACCTTCTTTCCATTCTAGACTCTCCTGAGTCCCACGTGGGGTTGCAATGTAGTTTTGTTCTGTTATAACAACAACAACGTACCATCAAGCGAATTCTGACTTATGGAGACCCTTTGCAGGGGTTTTTCAAGTACAGATGTTTAGTATTCCCTTCTTCTGGGGTCACCATGTTAGTTTGGGAACTTCAGGGGGGCTGGATCTGAATCCAACCCTCTTCAGAGCTGAAAGTGGCCTTCTGAAATGTCCGGAGCTCACATTCCCTTTTCCCACGATGAAACCACTGGATAGCTTCCCAGTTCCTTCCTGCTTTTCTCCTCTAACCTAAACATCTCTCCCAGGGCTTATCTGTTAGGCAAATTCTGAGCATTTCTGGTCCCAAATATTTATTTGCATTGCCAGCAGAGAGAATGTGTACAGTTTCCAAGCTAACGGAGGTCTTTTCTGCTGCCGCCACCCCCCTCACCACCAGCTACCAAAATGCACACCACCCCCAAGAAATTATCCGAAATAAAATTTGATCCCTTCGGCCGGAAGAGGTTCCCTGTCTTGGTTTTGAAGGAGTCAAGAGAGGAAACATCACCCAGACTGGATGAAGAAAATCAGACTTGATTTACGAAGGCACCAAGACAGAAAAGGGCTGACAAAGGACAGGGCTGACCCCAGCTCTCTTGCCGTCTGAGGCAGGGACATCCACATGCGGTCTCTGTCTCCAGGTTCCCTCAGACTCAGCCCCTGTTTCAATCCGTCCCCATCATGGCTGCCCAAATGACTTTTTCTGAGGAAGGACCTCCGGAGAGGCTGGCATTGGGGCCTGGCTACCTCTCGGGGAAGCGAGGTGGCTGACTTCTCCACACAAGGTAGAGAACGGGCCGCCATTTTGGTTGAGGCCCTCTGGCTGGTCTCGTGCTGTGGCTTTGCCACAGAAGCACATAAGTCCTTCCAGATCAGTTCTTTGGCGTGAACGGAGGCCACATGCCGTTCCTCCGTTCCTCCACCTAAGACTGAAGGGGGTTCACCAAGGCTTTTGAGAAGTGCTGAATTGGGAGTATAGCATTTAATGCATTTTTCCAGCGTTAAAGTGAAAACGCCGTGGCTGTCTCTGGATCCAGACAGAATCCCATACAAGGAAAACAACCATCAATTGCAGTGGCGTTTAATTGTCTCCATCTTTTCTCTGCTGGTCCCTCCCTACACTCAAACACGCCGCTAGATGTCACTGTTTCACCGAAAATGCCGGCTAGACGGATTTCTATACACAGGTCCCATCAGAAGCCATTAGGATACCCCCCACAAACCCGCAAGAGCATTCGTGAGATGTCTGCTCTTCTCATATTTTAAAGTATGCCATGAAAAATGTGCATGAACAAAGGGAAAGAAATGAGCGATCTATCTAAGCCACTGAGCCAGGATAAGAAGGTCCAGATAAACCAAAATGCAGGTTATGAAGCTATTTCAATTATCAATGCAGGTTATTTTATTGTTGGCCACACTTATACCCTTGCCTCTTCTCCAAGGATGCATGCTTTCGAATGGTTAGGTTGACAGGAGCTGGGACAAGCGATGGGAGCTCACTCCGTCGCGTGGATTCGATCTTACAACTGCAGGTCTTCTGACCTTGCAGCACAGAGGCTTCTGCGGTTTAACCTGCAGTGCCACCACGTCCCTTAAAAAAACTTATTGGGGGACTGTAATTCAGAAGAGACATGACAGCACAGAACAGCAGCAAAATACCCAGCACATGAACACTCCCTTTTTTCATGCACTTTTGCAAATCTTTATCAGGGAAATACAGGTTGCGGCTACTGTATGCTCTTTGCAATGTGTAGCTGAGCTATGATGGTCACAAGACAAACAATACAAATGAAGGAACATTTATAAGCAACATGTTTTATGCAGAAACATCGGAGGAGACCTTCTACATTGGTTCCTCTAAGTCATTACTCCCACCTTTGGTTGGCAGTAATGTTTTCCAAAGGTTGCAAGCAGGATTCTCTCTCAGATCTCATTGGAGATGCCTAATCTCCCATCCAGGTGCTAACCAAGCCCGACCCTGCTCAGTCTCAGAAACCGACAGCGGCTGTCGTGTGGAGGGTGGGGTAGAACCTTTTGAAAGGAACCGCAGAATCTCTGGCATGAAATCAGCATTTCTACAAGCCTAAGGTATGCGGCCGGACCTGCAGAACCTTGTTTTTACTTTATTTTGGGCATCTCTTTGCAGCCGGGGGTCTGCAAAAGGGACCGCCAAAGGTCACTGCGCTAATCAATGAGAAGGGAGGGTAGAGAAGGAAACAAACCCCCGAGCCAGAATCGATGCTGGCAACGTGCGTCTCATCATAGCTTCCCAATTCTCTTAACCTTTCCACTTCTATAATCTCAGGTCGCATGTTATAACATCAAAAGTGATTCGGCAATGGCCGCATGAGTCTGCGCTGGCACCAGATAAACTAACAGTCCTGTAGCATTTTTAAAGCTAACTGGCTTTTATTTTATTTTTTCCATATGATTTCATGCATCCAAGCCCAATTCTTCAGATGAATGGCTTTCTAACGCTGAGGACTGTGGCGCTGGACGAAGAGAAGGACCGGGGTGTGTAGCGGGAGAGACCTACTGGTAGATCCAGGAAACGAACGAAGTGTACCCATTCTTTTTGCAAAGATAGCTGCGGCTCTCCAATAAGAATCTCTCAGCGCCAAGGACGGCCTTAGCAACGGGCATGTCTTTCTCAAATCCCTCTAGAAATGGCTGAAAGTGCGGGGAGATTTTTCTAGCTAACGGTTGCCTACGCTATGATGAGACGCTTCAGATGAGATTTTTTTCAAAAAAACACAAAGGAATACCCAAGAGAAATGTTAATTTGAGGATTGAGAGAATGTCTCCAAGGAACAGGCTGAACAATACAGACCCTTGAGCAGTTGTGATGGGTGTAGGCAGAGCTGTACATGTGGAGCGTCTGCTGTGCAAAGAGGATGCCAATTAGCAGTGGAAGGAAATGTTAACAAATGTAACAAATAAGAATAAATAACTCTTTTATGGTGTACAGTTCTCCTCCACCCCCACC